AAGCTGCTAAAAACCCAAAAGGCACTGCTTCTGTCTTTGCTTTATTTAGAAAGACTATAGTCATTATCTTTTGTCTCGTTGCCTTGTTCATTGTTTTGATTTCCTAAGGTGTTCCTGAAACAAATGTAAGTCTAACAGACCTTTTTAAATCCATGCAGTCCATTATTTCTCTTGCCTTTAACGCATTGAAAGGAACGTTTTAACTTTGTAATTAAAAGACTTCAATACACCTAAATTAAAAAGACTAAATATGACAAAAAGAGACAAAAAGAGACATCCACCTCATTAGAATTTCTCATTTACGAAATGAATTTTGTACATAATGACACATAGTGAGTTACTGGTCTGAGGGAGTTGTTTCATGTAAATCATAGCATAGATTTATGCCAGACTAGTGGTCAGTGTGTTGACATCTACATCCTGAACCTGTTGACTCGATATTGAATTCAGCCATGATCCTATGACAGCTCAATACAGTCAATATAGTTAACCTACTCCCCCAACATAGGACTTGTTTCTAACACCTCAATCCAGGAACAAGCTCTTAAAAAAACCCACATTGTAGACAATTTAAGATGTTTCTAAAAATGACACTGACATGTCGCCCGAGGCAGACTATATGCTAACTGAATTACAACAATAGGGTCAAAATATGGCCATATCTCAAAATGTAGACAGATGACTTATTAAGATTTAATCTCTTACGATAGGCAACATTAAATTAATGACAAAAGGGAAGCAAGGTTGTGAGAAGGAGAGAGGGGGGGAGGGAGGGTCTGATGTTGAATTTAGAGATTCATTACTTCTCTTTGAACTTTGATCTTATTGACTGTAGGTGGCAGTAAATTCTGGACTTAGAAATACCAACCTCATTATCCAAGGGACATAAAAATGGAAGCTTCCACTCTCCATTGTATTTTGGTCATTTTTGGGTTTCTCTGCAGTGACAACTACGGGCTCGGATTCACTTCACTACACTGTAGTGTGGTAAGTTGTTAGGGGAGGTGATAATGGTTGCACAAAGTGTCCTTTAAAGCTCCTGCTAGTTGTTTTTAGCTGGTAATGAATGAGACAGGAATGAATTCTGATGGTCTACAAAAGCAGGATAAACTCCAGGAAGAAGATTAAATATTTCTTAAGTTCTTTTTAATGCCGATCACTGCTGTTCCCAGGTCAGTATCAACAAGGTCATTATGCCAACACAGCCCTTGTTTACATTTCCCGCTGCATAGATTGCCTGGTGATAGGTTTGACTGTCAAAAGAAATCAGTTGAAGCAGTTCTTTAAAGTCTTTCTAAAAAGAGAGTGGAGTCTAACGGATTGTTGTTCTCAGTCTGTGTTCACGTTGATGGCACAGCACGTCCTGCAGCTTCTTTAAGTTTGGCTCAGAGGATCAAACATGTTTCATGCATGTTTTTTTTTTTTCCAGTGAATCCCACCCATTAGACTTGCCACAACGTGGTGGGGGGAGAGCAATAGCTTCACATACTCGGGGAAGCTGTGTCTAGTGGCATTATAACGGAGTGTCATCCAGCGCATGAGTACAACACAAGGATGATCCAACTTTGCAAACCAAAGAAAATACTTTTTGGGGAAATTAAGTGTAAAAAAGAAAAGACTTGCTATGTTCTGAAAGACCAAAATATCACAGTTGAATCAATTTTGAGTTGCATATCATTATTTAAAATTGATCTCAGAATCTTTTCTTGTTTTCAGATGCTTATTAGCACTTGTCTGCTGTTGAGATGCGATGAGATGAGATTCAACTTTATTGTCATTACACATATACAAGTATAGAGTAACGAAATGAGGTTTGGCATCTCACCAGAAGTGCAAATAAGCAGAAAGTGCAAGAGTCTGTGCTATGTACAGTAATTACAAAATTTACAGATGTTGACTAAAAAAAGTGAATTATGTATATCTGGATGGCTGGATTAATGGGATGCTATAAATATAAATACATTCTATAAATATAAGTGTATTCTTAAGATTATAATATACAGATTAAGGTGCAGTGAGCATGCTATACTGTCCCTGCTAGTGAAACAGGACACGAGGGGCGGGGGAGACAGGAGGGGAGGGTGGTGGATGAAGGAGATGTGTCTGAAGAGAGCGATTGACTTGATCTGAAAATCTGCTCTGAAAGTTGCCTTTAAAGGTAACACCAACCTAATTTTCCTCACAGGAGCTTTAAGAAGTTGAAAATACTTTTAGAAGACAAACAGGTCAGACATGCAAACTTAAAAGCCTCTTCTATACATTCGGGATCAAATAAGAAAATGCTCATGCATTACAGCATGATGAATCACAAATTAATGAGTACGGTAATTTAAGTCTTTCAAGAATGCCATGTTAATCAAACTGTTACATCAAATTCACCTTAATTCAACTGACAAAAACATGAATCAGGCTATTTTCTTAAAAGATCTGACACTGAACGTGTGATAAAGTAAACCTCACATCTATGATAGACTCTTTGTAATGAAGTATTGATTATTACATTCAAAAGAAAAATCAATACCAGACAGTATATCCTATCATTTTCAAATGCCCTAATAAGCATATTTCTGCTGTATTTCAAGAAGACAAACACGTTGAAACACCACAGATATGACAGATTAGGATCACCCACAAGTCATCCTACGGGGAGAATTTATCGGTGAACTTTCTAAATTGTGCTCGGTGGTGTTTTGGGACCCTGCGGGACTCCACAAAACTGGCAAAATAAAAGACAGCAACCAGCCTGATAAGTCATACCTGAAGGCGTTCTTTGGTACAAAGATGCACGAAAACAGCACGATATTGGAGACAACACTACCTCCAGGCCATTTTTTTAAATCTTGGCTTCTTACATTAGATAAGCGTTATCATGGAAGACATCTCTTTTAGACGATATCTCTCAACCAAGGCAAAGACTGTTTAACTGTTTAACAGTGAGAGACACGTATAACCACTCTGTTCTTTTTCATTCTTTTCCTCTTACATCTATTTTCTGCCGTTCTTTGTTTTCATTGAATTTAGTTTAGATTGTAATGTAACCTGGGGCCATGAAACCGATTTAAAAAGTTCAATGTTATCAAAGTCACAACACTGTATCACATCGAATACTGATGAAACAGACAGAGATATCACAGAGATAAAGACACGATAGAGCAAGAGAGAGAGAGAGAGAGAGATTATTTACAATCTCTCATCTTGTAAAAAGGTGGAGGGAGGATTTGCAGGTCTTGTAGACAGTCGTAACCTGAGCAGGAGCCATTATCCTTATGTAACATTACTCCATACCTGACCTAAGTTGCACACTTGCCACATACTTTTTGTTTATTGCCTTCTCTGCCAGGAGCACCGTCAGTCCACTGCAGCTTATCCCATTTTGGAAGGAACATGGAAATCCCCACTGGGAGAGTTCACAAATTCATGCACGCCGTCCATCTGCCTGGTCACTATGAGGCAGATGCACATTACAGAGGCATTTATCATGAAGAAATTCCTAAAAAAAAAAAAAAAAAAAAAGGAGAACATTCAGAGGGTCAGATATTGTCAAAATGGCAATGCAAATTTTAGAAACTGTACTGTAACTTTTTTTTAGCACACAGAAAGCTTCAATTTGTTTTTTTTTTAAATACATAGAATAGGTCATATGTGCTAAAAGGAGGATAAGCATATTTTTCTCTCTACAATGCACTCATTTAAAAACGAGTCACAAAAGTAATAATACTAAAATTAAATTGTATTTAAAGGCGCCTTTCAAAGCACTCAAGGTCACCTTACAAAGCAGAAAGAAGTACAAGTAAGCTGCTTATTCTGTAGATCTTTAAGGTCAACTTCATTCAGCATTCTTTTACTTCTTCAGTTACTCCCATTTTACCAATGCGAGTAACTAATGTGCAGGAAAAACAGTTGAGAATACTTGGGAAGTATGGGGAAAAAAATAATAAGAAAAGAAAAAATGCAATCTTATACGTTTTTTTTACATTACATAGTCTATGCACTGCAAGAAATCTTTTTTTTTTTTCTTTTCCTTGATGAAACATTCATTAAGGTTCTTTTTGTCATGTTGAAAACCATCAGCACCTTTTGTTCAGCTTCCTCCTCCTGGCTGCTTTTTATTGTAATGTCATCTCTCCTCCACTAGGTGACACCAACGATTTCCCAAACTTGAAGCAAAAGTAATGTAAATGTACCTCCCATTACCCACTACTTGACATTTTTGCTGATGTTCACCTTGCAGTACAGTATGTTCATAATGTTATCTTTCATAAAAAAAACCCTCCATTGTATGTTCCAAGTGGGTGTGTATTTGTTAATTGGTTCATGTAAATATGAGATAGGCCTATGTCATATTTTAGGATATTAAATAAGTGCTAAAAGACACTACTCCTAACATTTCTGTGAATGGTCTTTGGTAACAAGGACTCAGAATTCAAGCCGTCCTAGTGGGCTGAGTTGATGCAGTTCTGCATCCCTGATCGAAAGATACAGACTTTGCAGGAGATGGGATTGTGCCTTGTACATTTCCTTTGCACTCCCACTGAGGGTTGAACATCCACTGAGAGACTGGGACTCCTCCTTCCTTTCCCAGCCTGCAGAGTGGTGGGAACTGGGTACTGGGCAGCCCAAAATGGTCTGCTATTTTTACCACGGTGTGCTCAATCGGAGGGCTGCTCCCGGGAGACCTGTTGTCGGCAGCTCTCCCCAAGCCGCGGAATTTAACCCTAGGAGCTCTCCCGAGAGGTGATGGAAAACATCTGGCCAGCTGCTTGACAAGGCCTGGTTGTCCAAACTCACTGCTACCAAAGCCTCTAAGACTTTTCCATCCTGGCAAACCCCCTCTAGATACTGCAACAGCACTGTGACTGTTGATACCAGCCGTTGCGTCATTTAGAAGAAAGTGTTAATAAAAGAAGTGTAAAACTTTCTGCATGTGAAATCAGCACTGATTTAGGATCAGTAGGTGTGAAAGATGCTGGAATAAATAAAAAAGAAAGAATGCCACAGAATCCCAGAATAACAACATTTATTTATTACCGACTTTTATTTAATTTAAAAAAAGATTACTTGTAAATGTTACACTGAGATCTATTAAAACATTTCTATATTCTGTCTCTCAGCACAGGTCGACATTAGGCACACAAGAATGCAGACATCATTTTGCAGAACTAGCCATTGTTCAAATACGAAAACAAAGAAGGGCGAGAAAAGAGAGATGTAGAGGGGAGGAACAAGATGTCACCTTAGCAAAACTACACTGAAAGTTGTTGCAGGGAGCCAAGGAAGACGATACATCCAAAAATAGCTTTCAGCTCAATCGTTCCTGTGCAAGGGACAGCAACACCTGATGTCTCACGCCCCCGTGTCTTTTGTGACATTGAAAAAAAAATACATCAGCAACTTACAAACTAAGGTAGCCCAGATTTCAAAACATGACTAGACCAACTTTGGCTGTGTTATATTCCCCGCAGTCACCAGAGAAAGATCTGGTCGATATATACGTCAACGGTACAAAACCCACTACCATTACATCAAAAAGGTTATTAAAAGGTAACATACCTGCAAAATGTAGCACTGTATTGCCTCCTTGAAAAGTTAAATTTGGCTTATGTATAAATATACGTGTAGCAAAGTTTACTGTATTTGTAATAGAAAGATGCAAAAGCTATAACTGGTCAACTTCATGAATCTGTGGTCATGTGTGCTGAATATTTGGCGTCTCCCATTGAAAAAATACACATTAGGTCAGAGTGGGTCAAGCACTACAATACCTCACGCTGCAGTGGCAAGAACGGCTATTTCACAAACACAGCAACTAGAGTTAGAATACTAAAGAAAAAGCCTTTTGTCCATGCCGCGGCCTAAAAAGCCTTTATGTACAGCTGACGGTACAGTGAGGGCGACTGCTGGAGGGGGGGGGGGCTCTCAGTACTGTTTTCGCTGGAAATAGAACAATCAAAACAAAGCATTTTATTTATTGCACACAAAAGAAAAGTGTAGTTTTTTTTGTTTTTGTTTTAAACCTTGGATCAAGAAAAGCTTTGAATCTAGTGAAGACTTTAGGAAGATGCAGGTACCTTTACGTCTTCTGATTGGGTACTTTTCCCTTCCAATGAAACGTCTTCATTGCCTTTGCCGGCATCTTTGATCAAGTCTTTTTCTCTTAAACATGACATTCTACTTATTAAGGATATGAATTCAGCTTAGGACAATAACTGGTAGATGAAATAAAGCTTAAAAAGGATCATGTTTTACTGTGTTTGTAGAGAAGAAGATAGGGGTTGATCACATGTGCAGAGCTGCCACATGTTGACAAGAACAAGAAAAATGTGTTGTAAATTATAGCAATAGAACAGGGCCAATCACCTTCATTGTTTTGGGATGTTTGTATTATTACACTGACATAGGACCTTTTAAATGGCACATAGGAATTGCAGATACAAAAGTGGTTTAACATTTATCTACCAAATTACATTTCTTGTTGAACTTCCCAACGTTCCGAGAAAAAAAGTATTTAGATAATAATACAACAATACAATCAAATTCATTTTCAGGTCATCCCTCTTTTGGTTACACTGAGGTAAAACAAGTGCAGCGTTTCAGTTCATCAGAGAAAACTAAATCTGTCGAGCCGAGCCCAAAAAGTTTCCCCGTTCACCTCAAGTTTGAAGCCATCTGCTTTAAAAAGGCAGAGCTGCTTAAAAATGGATGAGTCAAGGCCAGTTGAGGCTGGCGCTTGTCAAAAAAAAAAAAACTTCCTTCTAATGACTTTTTCTCTGAAGACTAATCCAACTTACAGGCAGAACAATCATGACCAACGTCACCCACTGGCATACACAAAGTGTCTTGTGCTCCACCGAGATTTGTTTTCTATCCATCTTCAACTCTTTACCCAAGTTTTACAAAAACACCAGTGAAACATTTGACCAAATTTATGTGGCATGCAACCCAGATTCGGGCTTTCACTGCCAAAAACAAAATTGGCACATTACGTCAGGTTACAGCTATAGTGGTGCCATAGTAAATCTGATAGGAAGAGACGGGAGGATTAACATCAACACTACAAGCCAAATAACTGCACTGTCACTTTTGGGCTCAGGGTGGGCACGTGGTGATGCTTCATGAGACGAGAGGTTTTTTTTTCCGAGTGGATGGTGCTTGGATGGAAATGACCCCCCACTCCCACCCTTATCTGAGCTCTCAGGAACAGCACTGGTGAAAAAAGAGCAGCACTATGCCGAAGCGGGAACCGACACCTCCAGCAGGCGGTTGTTCTTGCGTTTGCAGGACACACTGTTGCCGTTCTTGAGCGCTGCTGCCTGGATGAACTTCACACAGACCTTGTCCTGCTTGAACTGCACCAGGAACCTGCCGACGCAGAAACATCAGCATCATCGTTTGACCTCACCAAGTCAGCGACAAATCACAAACTATGACAAGGTAGCGAGATTAAACTGTGCCTGCACTCTTACTCGTCTGAGATGTCGATGTTGAGCTGCTCGCTGTCTGCAGCCGTGGCCCCGGTGCGGTGTAGTTTGGTGATTATCTCAATCAGATGTTCGCTGCTGAGTAAGAAGTCTCCTTTGATTGCTGACGCTGAACCCTAGAGCACAAAACAGACAAAAAAAAAAACACAATAACATCAACATCAACATCAACAAATCCAGTTCCCTGGATTCACATGTTTTAACACAATCTGTCTGTTCAGGCTTTTATTCATCAGGTGTCTTTATGCCTCTTTTTGATTTAGAGATAGGACAGTGGATAGAGTCAGGAATCGGGAAGAGAGAGTGGAAAATGGCATGCGTTTAAAAAGGAGCCACAGGTCGGATTCGAACCTGGGCTGTACACTTTGAGGACTATGGCCTCTGTACATGGAGCACTAACCACGAGGCTACTGACTCCCCCATGATCTGTTTCTTTTTTTTTTAAAACACATTTTGATCTCAGGGTTTTTGAGCTGCATAAAACATTAGAAATATGAAATAACTCCCAACACTTGTTTGCAAAGTTTTTTCTAATAATGAGAAACTTCATTATCGTCACTTAACTTCTATAAGCCTGAATGCAGTAACCTATGATAACTATTTATGTTGCATTGATATTATCACAACATGGGGAGAGGAGACAAGATTCCCGCAGGAACTTTCACATGTCCCATAGGGTGGTGGAGGGCGAACATATAAAAGATTCTCCTGTAACTCTGTGTGCTCTCTTAAGCTGAAATGACCTCTAAGCAAGGTTTACTGCTAATGAGAGTTTTTCACAGCTTTGGTCATTGACAGTGAAAGTGACAGAGAGCAGCATGTGTCAGACACCGAGGATTCTGTAGGAAGGACTGGGACTATGAGGCATCCTTGATGAAACTGATATTTCATTCAAGATGACGATGTTCCCTTTTTGAAATCAGAACGCCCACATTTTAAAAAGTGGGGTTTAATTAAAAGAGCGTTCGAGTACCTTTGTGTGTGATAAATGTGAATTTAGGAAACAGACAGGAATTATATTTTTAACTCTATCAAAGCAGTATCATACAAGAGGGAGTATAGCTGTACTAAATATCATCATAGCTGTGAATTGCTCATATGTCATATGCCAAAGACCCGGAGCTGAGGATAATAACAGCAGAATCTGTACAAAAGCATAAATACAAGTGTGATTATTGCTTCAATAGAACAGAATTTGGTAACACTTTAAAATAAGGTCACAATATTCACCATTAACTGCTTATTAGCATGCTAATTAGCAGCACACTGTCTGCTAATCAGTCATTATTAAGGACTTATTAGTAGCTTATTCTACATGTCTATAGTCTACAGCTTATAGGTCATTAACTAAGAGTTTGACCTGAATACACTCTTAATTCCTGCATATTGATGGTAAGTTAGGAAGTTGTTGTACATGCATTAAGATCTTGATGAAAAGTAGTTACGCAACTTATGTGAAACTCGACTGTTGCCAAGCATCACAGCTATTTCGTGTTTGTCTGCACACTGTTTATTTGGATCCCCATCAGCTGTCACCTAAGCATCAGCTACTCTTCCTGGCATTATCCCAGGCAAACTGCTCTTATGATGTATAATTATATCTGTGTGTCCAAGTAGTGGAATCAGATTAGGCAGCCTGATCATCTTCACTAAGTCTCTTTGCTGTTTTGTTATTTGACAGTATTGAAAACATCTGCTTTATTTGCTGATACATGGATGTAATGCATTCATCTACTTAATACATGCATGGAGTAATGCATTTATTTAAAGGCGGATGCACTCAATTTATTCATTTATATGCTGTCTGACCAATCAAATGACTATCTATTGAAAAAAAAAGTCACATCCCAACAGGTCTCCCTCACCTCTTTGAGTCTGAGCGCAAAGAAGCCGTCGCTCTGTGTGCTGACTGACACGCTGCTGAGGTCAGGCAGAGGGACGCTGGCCTTCACCTGTCCCGTCTTCTGGTCTGCCAGGACCACGCTCTTCTTCGTCAGCAGGAAGATCCGAGGCGTTCCCTGCGAATCAGAGAAGAGAACGGTTAGCTGCACTGTTGCGGGACATGTCAACATCATGGTTAAAGACAATACAGAGCCCAGAGTGCTGCTTTTAAGCTCCTAACCTTGAAACGGGGACAGGGTTTGGGAAAAAAAAAAAAAAAACATTGAACATGCAGCCTGTCCAAACATGTCTACTATCTGCTGGAACAAAAATAATGCCAGTTGTTAAGATGTCAAAACCCAGTTGTAGCACAGCACACACAAAGTGAAACAGCCTTCAAACAACTTAATAGGGTCTTGTGCACCACTAGGCCTGAGAGGGTGATTTAACAGCTTTTACACAAACTGAATGAAATGCGACTTTACAGTAGGGTGAGTGATCTTTCTCACCTTGCCATTGGCCCTGTTAATCTTGTTGACCACATCTGCCAGCAGGACCTTCTCATCCACGGCGCTGCTGAGTTTCTGGTATTTGGGGTTCTTGCTGATCTCCAGGTAGTCTCCTTTAAAGGGCTGGCTCACGCTGAGACAAAAAACACACACATTCATAATGCACACCCACTTATGAAGACAACACCACACTGTGTTTACAGCGGTTCAGTGTGTTAAATTAAAAGATCCACTAATCGGCCCATTAGCCAAACAGCGGGCCGAGAGATATTTATTTTAAAGTAGCGTTACCGTGATGTAAATACAGAGCACTTCTGTGAGTACCTGCTCGGGTAGAGAGTCTTTTTATCCTTGAAGATCTCGCTCGCCTCCAGCTTCTCCTCATAAACAGCCTTCTGCTCCTCTGTGAACTGGCTCCTGTATTTCTTACACTGAACACACAAACACAGATAGCAGAAGTTTAAAAGGGGGCTGACGTTGATAAGTATAAAATATTTGTATTGCTTCAGTGTGCTTTACGGATCTTGTGGTTCATTGCTTATCCATTTTCTCTGTATATATTTCATCAATATTGACAGGATCATTGCGTCAGGGGTGTGTGATTCTACTCTTCTTTAAAAAAAAAAAAAAAAATGCTTTACCGCCTGCGGATTGGATAAAAAGGATTTTACTTTAGACTGAAAGTTTAATACTTGACTTGAGTCCACGCTCCAATTCTGCTCTTGTTCTTCCATGTGACTGTTTTTGGAGGTGTGCATGAGACAATGTTTTACTTTATCAGCATTGATCATGAAATAATAGCCAAGCGGTTATGTTGTGTGCCCCTGATACAGAGGCTTTTGTCCTTATTGCAGCGGGCGTGGGTTCGAATCCGACCTCAGCCCTTTGCTGCATGTCATCCCCCATATTCTCTCCTCCCAACATTTCCTGTCTCTTTTCAGCTGTCCTATCCAAAACAGCCCAAAAAGTTACCTTAAAAAGGACATATTATCGCCCTCCTCCACCTTTTCAAACAGTCCTGTGGTCTAATTGAAACATCTGTGCTGTGCTTTGGTCAAAATATAACATGAATCAAGCACCAGAGGAGGTTTGTGACCCTGTGTAAACAAGCTCTCTCAGAACGCTCCGTTTTGGTGTGTGCGTCTCTTTAAACACAATGAGCCCCCCCCTGAGTTTTCCCAGTAGACATCACTCCTTGGTAGAGAATAAAAATGGCAGACCTGTGCAAAAGTTTTGTTCTAGCTTGGGGGTGGAGTCTATGGGTGGAGATACCAGGGGAGGGGAGGGGTTTTTGTTTTACCAGAATCCCACTGTGACATCACAAGGAGAGCACATTTGAAACGCAGCATTTTTGTCTGTGTTGAAAGACTTATGCAGACCACAAACAAAGGACTGGATGGGTTTATTTCACATTTTGTGGGTCAGTAGACACTCAGATCACCCAACTATATGTTAAAAAAAATGTCAATGTGGATTTTTCATAATATGTCCCCTTTAAAAGAAAATAAATCATAATGACTAAAAATACGAGTGGATGAGATACAGCAAGAGGGGAAGGGGTCTAGGGATTTTGGACCCACCCTCCAGAGGTGGAAGATTCTACGCAGCTCTGTGTGGACTCCATCCAGGAAGCGGTAAGGCCTAGTGGGCCAGTTCATGTCGACGGGAGACATGGAGGGCGTGGTGCTCTTCAGGCCCAAGAAGTACTTTTGCATCTGGAAAGAAAAAAAAAACATCAATAAGAACTGTATTGAAATGGAATTCAGGTTAATGTTGATCGATAAAATATGTTTAAGGAACACAACAACAACAACAACATTAAAGAATACCCTTATTATTTTTCAAACTTAGTTCCACCACTAGTCCAACTTACGATTCTTTGGATGGTGAAGTCATAGATTTTCTTGCCGGCATTTGCCCTGAAGAATTTTCTGTACTCTCTGCGGACCTTTTAAAACAACAAACAAACAAACAAACAACCAACAAGAAATGTCAGTCACCTCCTGCCGCCTGTTCAGTTTGATGTGAAGCAGGTAAGAAAAGGGAAACCCTGGCAGTGGATAGCAGTGAAAACACAAACAGCACAACAGAAACAATAGACGTTAGGGGTTAGTCACAAACAATGAACACCTGGAACAGACAACTCCAAGCTGCTGGATTTAACTCACATTACAACGATTACAGAATGAATGTCTGAAAAGTCAATGACGGTTATGACAAATGACCTTCATCGTGACCTTAATTGCACCAAATTGAGTTGTGAACAGGTGCAGCGTGTGGTGCAGGGTGAGTCAATTATCATGATGGAAAGATTAACACTGCAACAACTGATGTGTATGAGAGGACAGGTATTCTTCTGAAAGCAGACAGACACCCAACACATAATCACCGGAAACTAGGACACGCACACGCTTAACAAACCTAAGGACAAATAAAAAAACAAGTGAAACAAATATTGCTGGGTACAAACAACAGTGCGGCTTTTTATGGGGTTAGTTGGAGGGATGCAGAGGAAGCTGGCAGCTGTTCAGACGTTCAGAAAAAGAACAAATCAGACAGAGAGACAGACAGACATGTCAGTCAGGTTCTGTTACTTTAAGTCTTCAATGTAAAAAAAAAACAAAAAAAAAAACAATGTCTGAAATGTATCAAACTATTCTGAAGAAAGTTAAACTTCTATCTGTTCTGCCTTTTCACATCTTTGCTTTAATCTTTCCACAATGCTGTTGAGAAATGTGACACCTGTGGATTATTCTGAGTGACCAGAGCCTGGTGTAGAGTGTAAGTTAGTGAGGATAAAAAGTAACATCTTAATGGTTTACAGTATGTCATAATGGATTTGTAACTTAGTCTAACTCGTGTTATGCGTTGTGCAATAGCCTCATGATGCTCTACACAATATCTCCGCATGTGCAATGTTCATTTGAATGTTTGACAATTCCTTTTTCCGTATTGGAACTTTTCATGTTTATTACCATGCATGTCCCTTCACATAACTATGACTATCATGTGATTTCACTTTTCTTTATGATCATGTAGTATCATCAGTGTGGTCACTGCCTGACGCTTTCTGTCAACTGTGACATTTCTTTACCATCATAAAGTATTATCGGCGATGTCCCCCGTCTGGAGTTTCATGAAAGGAGCCTGAGTCTGTGTATGATCTGTCAGTACTACTGTGAATAAGGCCATTACTGTTGTACTTGTTTACATAACTTGTATACTTCTTTTTATCCTTTTAAGGCACACTTTGAATTTAAACCCTTATAAACTTAATTATTTCTTCTTTTTTTTTTGTCTCATATTTGATGCTCTGTTGTTGTTGCTCTTTTGTACAGTAATCTTGGAGCAACCACAAACAAGAACTTCCTTTGGGATTAATAAAGCTCCGTCTTATCTTATGGCGTCATCTTTCATTTTTATTTTTTCATTTTGTTGCGTTCTTATGTGGATCTGCCATTTTAATTGGCGTGTGCTTCTTTATCCACATTGTCCATTGTCATTTGTTTCTTTTGTCCGTATTTATGGATTGTACTGTGGCGGCTGCTATGTGTGTGTTATAACTTTGAATGGCTCAAGTGAAATTCTATTGATCTTTATTACAAATGATTGTTGATTACGCAGGGGTCTTAAAACTCTGCAAATAAACTACCAGATACATACCATGACATCAGATTTAGGGTAACTACCCCTGAAGATAAGATCAAAGTTAGTATTTTAAATAAATCTCTCTGGCTCACAAAGATGATGCAAGGAAAAAATGTTGAAGGACAAAACGTCCAATAAGGAATGAGGTGCATAGTACATTGGGATTTCTCTATTGGAGTTAAAAAAGAGACTCTTCGTTATAATTATCTGAAGGTATGGAGGAAAAATCAGTTTGTGCTCCTGTAATCTTTTTAAAACGACTTTATGTTGTGGTGGAGTAACACACGTTGCTTTGTTAAGATCTTATTTTGTTAAGATTTTGTTGATCGATTATCTGTTTATTTAGAATAAATCTAAATGTTTAATTGATGATAGGGATTCCATTACAAGTCATTAACTATAACTGGTCATATTTAAATGAGCTTGACCTATGGGACCTTTGTGCACAAAGCTGCACATGCGTTACTGCAAATGAATGCTGTAAAAGTTAAAGTGTAATCAGACTGATAGTCAGAGACATGCTTCCTGTAGAAGTCTGCGTAATGTCGATGAGTTTAGAAAGATGAAGAGGTTCAGGGTGGATGATACGGTTGCAGATTTGGTGATGTCTACATCCTGGGGCTGGTAGGTACCTTGAGTCCCTGCCAGTAGGCCCAAATCACAGCAACAGCATGCTTACGCCGGGCCTCTTCCTTCAGTCTCCTCAGCTCCCTGCGAGCCTGTTCACAGGGTGGGCAGGAAGAGGCAGAGAGCAGGAACAAACCAAGCAAGAGACCATTAGAGGAAGAAGAAGGAGATACAGTTTTGACTGAGGTCATCAAACATGGAATAAACACACACCATCAAATACTGTTAAAGTACAGTTCTACACTCCACAAAACACACTTCACACTACCAGGAGGACTTCTGTAAAAAGAAACAAGACTTTTTAGTGGAACTCTGAGTTCAAAAGAAAGGAGCGAAAGTTACTGCAGGGGGTCAAGTGAACGGATTCAAACAGTTCCATCTAAAAAAAAGACAGACGATGACAAAGAGAATACATGCAAAAACTACTCTAAAAAGAAGACATCATGCAAACAGCAGGCAGCGTGCACTGGTGAGGCATGGCCCGTTGTGAAGGAAGCTGAAAACAAACTTTAAAGATGACCTCTCTGTCCCAGGTTTGTGTGTGAATGTGACCAAATTCACTAGTGGCCCATCTAAGCTTGGGCCACTAATTAATTTTAATGAGCAAAATTACAATATGAGCTGTCAGACAGGGCTTCAGTGACAGACAGTTCAACTCCTCCGTTCACTCCAGCATCTGATGGAGAAGTGTGTATGTGGGAGGGTGGAATGTACACTGCCTTAGCATATACAGTATATCAGATGTTAAATGTGTAAGATGGGATGAACAGCACGATGGTTATAATGAGCTTTTTCAAATTTGAGTTGGGGGTGCGGATGGAGGCGGCAGACACATAGTCACGGCAAGACAAGTCGACAGGCTGCCCAAATACCTTGGTGCCCTGCCAGCCGGCCCAAATGACCGATACGGCATGTTTATTCCTCGCCTCCTCCTTCAGCTGACGCAGCTCTCTCCGGGCCTGATGAAAAGCGGTGGCAGTTGCGGAGGTGGGTTATTTTCAGTGACAAGCAAAACTTAATTGCCCCTAGGAGGGGGTTACTGAGTAGGTGTGGAAACATCATGATGATGAAACATTGACGAAAAAGACAACAAGGACTGTCAAGAGGTGGGACAATGTCTGGGAAGAGTCAACATGCGGGCTGCTTTTAGTCGGTGCTCTCGTTATGCGACTCCGCTGTGTGTCTCACTCTTCAGGAGAGAGATACTGAAGACCTCATCAAAATGCTTACCATAAGTTTTACTTAGAACTTAACAGCATCTATGGTGAGTCAGAAATAATTATCTGTGAGGTCTTGAATTAAATGTTGATTATTAACAACCAGGGGTTATCTCAAGTGAAATAAATACTGATAAGTGCATGTTATACACGCTCACTACAAAATCAGTGTGATTATACACAGCCACTGCAGCCTTACAAAGTAGCAACATATGCTCTAACATAATGGCATAATCCGTTTTTTTTTTTAAATAATTGAGCTTCCTGGTGTTTTGTAGTCAGTGCATCAGTGTGCATTTACGGGAGAAATCTGCTGTTTGGAGGGAAGTGTGTGGCTTAACTATGATTCTAGAAGATGAGGAACAGTTTAAAAAAAAGACAACATGTTGGACGGAAAGCAGATGACCAAATTTAAATCACGTCATCCACGTTAAAGGATCTAAGTGTGCAGTGAGAAGTTTTGTTTCGTTTTGGTATAAATCTAGTTTTGGTTTTGACTTGTAGAAGAACCAAAAAAATAAATGTAACAGCCACAAACCAAACAGAAACAGGACGGACAACAATAAAGGTACATTAATCAGGTGGAAGGATAACAGAAGGGGATAACGGACGTTCATTCAGACGGGCTGCTAACTCTATTAGTCAGGTTCACAGCGAGAATGGGGATGGGATGGGACACTGGCGCACAGGGATGACAAGACAGCTGGGACACAGACACACTGCTGTGCAGCTGAGGTTGGAAAATACCTTGGTTCCCTGCCAGTATGCCCAAATTACTGTCACAGCGTATTTATTCAGCGCTTCTTGTTTTAGACGTCTCAGCTCCATCCGAGCCTGGTGGGATGTGGGAGGCGTTAGGTAAGACAGGTTGAGGATGTGAGGAGGAAAAAGAACCAAGAAAGAAAAGTGAAAGAGGAGTGGGAGAGAGGGGGGAGAGAGAAGTGGCAGTTTTTCGTGATCAGCAGAAGGAGCGAGATTAAAAACGGGGGGGGAAAAAAGCAGCAATAACATCAAAGTACAGCTTTGTTAAAGAACAGAATTTGTGTAATACTGTCGGGGCCCTTAGGCAGGAACACGGCATAAGATGAAAAATCAAGTGGTGAAGGCCAGACTGTTAAGACTTCAAGAGCAGTTTCTTTTCCTCCAACATTGGATTAAAAAAAAAAAAAAAGCCAGTATCAAACCTATGCTAATGTTCTGTGGTGGTAAACACCTCGCTCTCTGATATCCACACTGCACTTTAATGCTTCAGTACCTGGGTGCCGTGCCAGAAGGCTGAGATGGTGGTCACTGCCTCCTCACACCTCTTCTGATATTTCAGCTCTCTCAGGAGTTTGCGAGCCTAGTGGATGTATTAACAAGCAAACACATTGGAATGTTTTCTGCCATGAATACTGCCGAGCGTATTTGCTTCAGTACAAAATGAATGCACACCTGCCATCCTCTAGCGTAGGACTGCATCACGGTGGTGGCGCTCTTGATCTTCTTGTATTTCTTTTGTTGCTGTGAGATGGAAAGGGAGGGGGGTTTAAGAAATTAGCAGCAGTGAGGGATGGCTGTCTATTCGCTTTGTTGCGTGTATTCAGGATTTTGAGTGCATTTTCTGAAAGTTGTTGCTCACAGCGAATCGGCGGTACCATGCAGCCACTACGATCTGGCTCTCTTTGAGCAGCAGGAAGTGGCTGCGGCACTTCCAGCCACGGTAGATCTTCTGAATGAGTGTGGCCAGGTCTTGCAGGCATTGCCTCCTCCTTTCCTCCAAGAAGAAGAGCTGTGGGGGAGAGCAGAGACTTTAACTACTTAAGGTATAAAGGAAAAAAAACACAAAAAAAAACACCCTGGATGCACATACATTGTGATGTCATTTGTTTAAAATGGACAGGTGTCAACATCAGTATTTCCCTTCCCAGAGTAAGATGTCTTCACAATTAAATCAGAGGGAATGCAAAGTGATACAAGGACAAAAAAAAAATGTTCTCCTTCTCTGGGATCAATAGAAATGTCATTTTATCAGAGCAAATATTGATTCAGCGATAGAAAGTGCAAAGTCCAATCTCTCTGCAGGGAGACAAATAACCCTTTCCTGCATGGGCTTACAGTCAGACTCATAAAAGTCTTATCTTCAAAGGAGCTAAACGTCTCAACTAAACCTCACATATAACCAAATCTCATTCTGAAAGTGAGGTTAACAGGGTTAAATAGTGTAACTGAATTATGGATCACAACCTATACATAGTAAGAGCTCAAAGTTCTGCTACATTTCTTCTAAAAAGAACTAATCCAAACCTTCCTTAAACTCTTTACTTTGATGTGTGGCCTCATTAGAGCAACGTCCAAAAGAAGTATGGTCTAGAAACATACATTAACATCTACTCAACCAGACTTTATGTTGTGATTTCCCAGCTGTAGATATAAATGGCGGAAATAATGATTAGAGAGAGAAAGCAAATTGAAGAAGAAAGAAAAAAAAAAAAAAAAAAAAAGCCCAGAATGAGATCATGTTATTTCAAGCTTTGTTTGCTGGATGGGGAGAAAGTAGAGTCAAACGCTGCAGGCTTCAAACGCTGAAAAACCTACAAGCACGGAGTTAAGAAGCCCATTTCCCGTGTTAGACGGGATGGCTAAGTGAAAACATGTGTTTTTCAGAGCGCTAGATGCATGCTAATTGCTGTAGTGGGGGCTTTAAGTGCAGCCCACCCTGCTTTGCAAACATCTTACTGTGAGAAAACAGGGCAGCTGAGCACACTGGATACAACCTTTTAGATATATTCAAACACCGCCTGATCTACTGCAGCGCACAGCAGATGTCAAAACGAATAAGAAGCACATTCCAGGGATGTAGCTGGAGTCAGGATGTGTGTTTTCTACCGTTCTTGGGTTCCTGATGAAGATCTTGGAGCGGCCGTACGAGTACTCTTCTGTTGGGACCTGGAGGTCGCCCATGAGCACCTCCACTCCTTCCCTATGGGGAGACAGAGGGGTCAGACTGCTTCTAAGAAGTAAACATGACATTTTGCAGTGGCCCATTAACATAAGTGTAACCGTATAGAAGAAGTGCAAAGACTTTGGGTATAAGAGGGAACAGATGAGAACATATCTGAGGATAGAGTGTGGGAAACAGAGAGAGAGAGAGAGAGAGAGAGAGAGAGAGAGAGAGAGAGAGAGAGAGAGAGAGAGAGAATGGTTAAAAGAGAAAGAAACACGTGGGGGGGGGGGGGGGGGGGGAGCTAAGGAACCACACAAGCACTTTGGATGGCTCAACAACAAGATACCAAAGAGTGGTAGAGCAGATTGGAATCAGAATGTTTTTTTTTTTGTTTTTTTTTTTACCAGGCTGATATGGAACAAAGGAAGACCGATAAGGATGAAATGTCTCAACATACTGAGGTTCACAGGGGGAATAGCTCACTTCTGCTGAACTTTACACAACTGGTATGTGACAGGGCTGCTTCTAGTTTCTGAAAGGATACCAAGAGGAGTTTCACACGGACTATAAAGCTATCTGACACTGTTTCATAATCAAGGTAGACAGTTAACAAGGCAGCTAGTGAAACCCTTCAGCAACATTGTCTCTCAAGAAAGATAACAAAAAAGCCTTTTCCTAAAACTAACAAGTTGACATATATCTTAGACAATGCATAACCTGCTAAAATGGATATGCCTGTATGTTGTGTAAACTTATATGGGAGGATATTTTTACTTCTAATCCAAAGAAGGGAATTTGAGGCCGTTTCCAGCAATGACCTGCTTAAATTCACACCGCTCCACACAATCACACCTGGGAGCTGCCGAATAGACTTCAGTCTATTATTGCTGAACACAGAAAGTCCTGTGGGAGTAGTCTGAGTGGTTCAGTTCCTTAGTTAGAGACTCCTCCTGTGAGTGTTTCTCAGTTTCCACTCTGGCATTTTCTCACAAACAAAAAGTGGATTTGTTTTGGCGTTCTTCCAGTGAAAAAGACCACTCCTCCTCCGCTCTCCTCGCCCAGAAAACAATTAGCAGCTACTTTGGTATAAACACAACAATTACCTGGCAGGTCCTCTCCAGTGGGGCCACGTCCGCTTGCACAGCATTTTGTAGCGCTCCAGACACGGCTCGTAGGCTTGGCGGAAGGCGTACCCCGCTCTCCTCACGCGAACGTTCTCCATCAGGCCCAGGTACCGTGCCTGATGGCGGACCAGAGAGTCGGTGAAGATGTGGGCTGCCTTCTTGTCGTTGGGCTTAATGCACCTGGAAGGAGAAAAAAAAAAAAAGAGTCACTCTTTAACATCAAAGTAAGACTGATGTTTGTTTCCAAAAAAGCTGATACCAGCTGCAAAGTTATACATTTGTTTTGTCCAGTTCTAACATGAGGAACATGTAAGTTACACTGACTACGTATGTTTTGTTAAATTTAGTAAAACTACTCTTATTTTAATGGGAGATAAGTCGCTTAGATGTAATGTAGATAAATAGTTTCATTCCAGGCAAGTCTGTATTAGCATATCTTTAGCATTAGCAGGTGTTTTAAGACTCAGGTTATGATGTCATAATAACTGATATTGAAGTCAATATTACCATGAAAAAGATTGATCTTGAATATTTTGTAGCCTACACTTAATATTCCTCATTATCAGATACTGATATTTAAAAAGGAGTTATCAGATAGCACATTCAGCAGGCTGTTTTCATTTGCTCTAACATTTACAATAAAGTCAGAGGCTGCAAATTTCACACACACAAACAACAATGTCCTGGACTGGCAAGTTGCTCTGCATGCATTACGGGACATTACCGGATGTAGTTTGGGTTCTTGGTCTGCAGGTTCCTCATCAGCGTACCCACTGACGCTTTGAACTGGAATCCAGCAGTCGGTGGTCTCTTCAGGTTGACTTTGGCTGGGTTGCCTTCAGGGAAGAGCTGCTTGATGAGGCTGTGGGTGGCCTTGTACATGGCCTGTGACAGGTCCCGGTACAACAGGTCGTTGTTCTTGTCTACGAAGCCCTCAGTGCGGTACAACACCTTGAAATGAACAGTGAGAACAGAAATGAAAAAGGGTACTTACCAAAGCTGTCGGCATTAAAAAAAAGTTAGTCGCAATTAATTAAGGTCTGAAATGAATGCACTCTTCTTTTTTTAATTGCGATTAATCGCATTGCTTTTGCCCTTTAGGTGCATTGTGATAAGCCTCTGCACTACCTTGCTGCAGTCACAGAGCGTGATGGAGAAGCCAACACGGCTGCATCTTTGAATTTCTCAATTCACTTTATAAAACTCCCAGACAGCTCAGCTGATGACATCAAACGTTTCACTTGTTTGACCGTTCCTTTTAGCTGTTTTCATTTAGTTTTTGATCTGTTAAGAGTTTCTTTTTCTGAAGTTAATATTGTAACCTTGGATCCACCAGGTCATTACAATATTTCAAAAATAAAACCAGGGTTAAATTCAGTAAAGCACTCTCAGCTTAAGACGGTTCAAAAATTCAAAATAAAGGCCTAGAAAAGTTTATTTTCAAATGTAAAATAATAGAATTTCAAACATGCGATTAAAAATGCAATTATCATGATTAACTATTGATATTTAGCTATAGATCAGGATTCAAATGTAAAATCATTTGACAACCCTTGCATTTACATTCATCAGGTTGTTCTGTTTTTGAAATAATAGCTATATCCCACTGTTAATACTGCACTTTGAATATATTCCCTATTGTCCTCAATATTTATTGTTTTAGATCTTATTTACATTCCTTATTCTAATTATATTTCTACTGTTATATTGTGTTTAAGAGCAACTGTAACGACCAAATTTTCCTCCTAGGATTAAGTAATTCTGATTCTGATTCAGATGAGTGCCAGAGTATCTAGCCATAACCTTTACAGCACTCTAATGTTCCAGAAAGATCTACAGATTCTTATCAGGTTTTTTTTTTACACAGCCTAACGTCCAGTACCTTCCCGGCGTAGTGCTGGATGCGGAAGCAGCTGTGTGGCAGGCTGTGGTCGGTAAGGAACTTTGAATTCTTGCTGAGACGACTCTCAAAGTGTTGGTGTTCAGCACAGATGGTGTTGAGTTTGTCCAGGAATGTCTCGTCCGTGACCGTCCCTGGCCTCAGGCACTCCTCGTCTAACATGGCCAAGATGCCGTTTTGGTGCTGGACATAGCAGGGGAGCAAGACATCAAGTTATTTTATAAAACTACCCATCATAAAACCTTAAATACTAAAAATGATGATCCAATATTATTCTGTGTAGCTAGTGTCTTTGTCCTTTTTTTTTTTTTTATCAAATATTCTACAAAAGTAATCAGACTTGAATGTGGATTCATGCAGAACTGGTCTGTGTGGTCTCAGCGCTGGGAGACTGACTCACATTCTCAATGAGGTCGCAGATAATGGCATTGTTGAAATATTCAATGTTGGTCCACTCGATGCCCTGTAACAAAAGAAATGAAGGTCAAGGGGACAATGGCTTTTCTATCTTATCCTCCAGAGCTAACAAGACTTTGTTTTTCGTATCAGCAGGACTCTTACAGACTTCAGTGGTTGATGCAAAAACACTCAACACAGCACTCAGCTGCTGGTCAAGTACCTGAAGGAAAAACAGGCACCAGATCTATTATGCTCTCACAAACAGCCTCATCAAGTTCTGTAAACTCCACGCAAGAAAGCTGGAGATGATTCAGAGAGAAATGATTATACTTGGTGTATTACAATGATGATTAAGATGCTGTGTTCCAATTTCATTTAACCTCAACCATTTGTGAAGGTCTAATGTTAACATAGCAGATGTGAGGTAGCCACAATTAATGAAGTTAAAGTTTTCAATAGCAGCCAATTCTCATTTGAATTCTCAGATTCCTCTGAGCTTAGGACCACGTTTCTTCTTGTAATTTAAGATTCTGCACAATGCAACAGTGTCAAGTTTGGAAGTTTTCAGTTGGGAGTACATTGAAACACAGACAAAGCATCGCAATGACACATAAAAATGATCTTATTATCGCTCCAACTCTGACAGATTCTGTGTTAACGATGAGGCAAATAATGCTCGACAATGTTACAGGTATGACAGTTTATGATTGGAGATTGTGGAAATGTATGTATCTTAACTTTGTCACTAACTTTAATCTGAAAGCCTAATAAGTTTTACATTCTAAGAACTGTGATGTCAGACGTCTATAGCTGTAGATGTAAATAATAGTGGAAGAAGCCTGAATGACGTCACCCATCTGTTACTGCAGGGGGCTTTGAGAGAAAGTCGATGGCGATCACGTTGCAGGAAATGCTCTCAGTCTAACTTTCAGCCAACCTAACGACAGGGTGAGAGCTGGAGCGGAGGCTTGATGAACAGCTACTATGCACCTGCCCTTCAATCAGCTCCACTTCTGCTTACTGTGACTAACGCTTATCCTTCATAAAATCAAAACAGATGCGTCCCCCCCCAGTACAGTGTGGGCTGATCCAGACATTAGCTTATCAGACAAATTTCATTTTCTGAACCAGGCTGTAAACATGTTAATTTCTGCTGTTAAAAAAAAAAAAAAGCTTTTTTTTTTAGTGGGTGTGTATGTGACTTCCGGTGCTTCGGCAGCCAGCCTCAAGTGGACATTCAATTAACTGCACTTCAGCATTGGATTCATTTTTCAACACCAGAGGTTGCTGCTTGGTCTAGACACATTCATTCATATCACAAGCTCTTTATTACTTGAAATAGGGAAGTTGGGCCTAATGAGAACAAATGATGCAGGGAAAAAAAGAGCACTAACTGCAGTGGGCTCAGTGAGTTACAGCTCTTTTTCTTTTTTATGCTTTCATCACTGACTTGAGTGCTGTTTGTAGGATTTATTAAATCTCTCTATATGTACCATCAAATCTTTATGGCAATATTTGCCACATCTGGGTTGATTTTGTGTTCACAGGGCCTTCTCTTTTGCTTTGGCACAAACTCAGTCTTCCTGTAGTTTGAGTAAAGACAGAGCGCATCTGGAGAGAAAAAGAAAAACTTTCCCCATCTTACCCACACGAACTCGCCTCTGCCCAGCTAATTCACAGCTGCTAATGGGTTGGGAACATGGCTTAGGTTGATGTAAGCAAAGTGACAGATATTTTGAGGAGGGGGCTTGCAACGAAGGCGGGCCTCAAACTGACGGATGGCCGGCCAAATTCCTGATTGGCGGTCCTCCCTCCTCTCTCCCGCGTTGTGGTATTTTCCCATGCAGTATGCTGGAGAGAGGCCAGGAGTGGAATATCATTGGTTCTGGTGTTAGTGGGGAAGGGGTGTGGGGGTCACCACGGCAGCGCTCACATACATAGAGCTTTGAAAACAAACAGAGCCCGAAGGCCCTCAACGGGGAGTGTTTACTCTCGCTGGAATGAGGGATCACTTCCGTCCCAGAGACTCGGCAGAGGGGAGAGGGAGAGAAGAAACTCGGAGTGTAATGGACGACAGAGACAGGGGAGAAGGCTTAGATTAAGTAGAAGGGGTCAAACTGAAGAGTGACATGACCAGGTTGGGATCATGCTGCAGGGAACTGCCATGATGAAATGTTACCACAACAAACTGAGTGGTGACACGCTGAAAGATGTACAGTTGTAGGAGAGGGAGTGCTTCCCGGGCTACAGGCTGGGCTTGTCTGGTCATTTTTCCAAGTGTCCACAACCAGTCATTTGCACATGGATTGGGCTTGTTGTTTATGCGAGTGTGAGCAAACAACCGTACCTCTCTGACATACTCCTCCTGCTCCTCGCGCAGGGTCAGCTCGATGAAGATCTGCTGCAGCTTCTCGTTGCAGTAGTTGATGATGAACTGCTCGAAGCTGTTGTCCTGTAGAGAACAAAACAACAATCAGTTCCAGGTTGGGCTGCAAGTTGAATCATGAAGACGCCTGTGAACTCACTGTTTCTCTAAGTTATTGTCAGTGAAATGTTTGTTTTTTATATATTTATATCAAATATCAGAATCTATTATATTTCTGAGCTTGGTTCTTGATTTTCCCATTCTTTAAAAACCACTGTGATTACAAATGTTGTTTTTCCCCCCACTTAATTTCCCCGCTATGTTTTTTTTTTTTTTAAGAAGCTTTTTAAAGCTCTATCCAAATTCTTTATTCCCAGCAAACATTGCAAAAGTAAGCCAAGAGATGAGAAGTTTCACTGGTTTCCATTGTTTCACTGCAATCTTTTATATCAATTAAACGGCTGTACTGACTTGAACTAATTAAGAGGGTTTACGATACTGTTCAAACAACTTTGCTTGACCAGGAAAGGTTCCTGGAATTCAGATTTAGTATCAAACTTTAGGGGGAATTAAATTCTGCTTCCTCTTTAATTTGGCCATGAATTGTCCAGCAAAGTGTCATAATGTCACAAAAATGTTTAGTGCTTACCATTTGCAAGATACAGCTTGACTAAACTCTAACTTGCAGCTCACTCCGTCTGCTCAATGATTCCCTAAATCAAACTAAAAACTAAGAAATGATACCAGTAAGACCTGCTGGAAAACCATTTTCACAACAAGGTCCAGTAAGCCATCACAGACCTCATTAAACATTGACCGAGTGACCCAACCATTTTTGCTAGCCTCATACCTCAATTATTACTGTGGCCAATTATGACCATTTAGTGGTTAGTCATGCTTCTCGGCAGAAGGCCTCATTGTGTTGCGGGGGTTAGGTTAACACTCATTTGCTAAGGACACAACAGTGGTTAGAGCAGGGTGTTTAGTCTGAGAGCTCGGAGTGAAGGACGCGGCAAGGTTTCTCAGTGTCAAGGAAGCAACACATGGCCTCAAGGAGATCTGTTAATAATGTCAAGATTCCATTTCCTTTAACTGAGAAACCAAAAAGGTTGTCTCCACCCCTACACACACACACACACACACACATTTACCAATGTGGCAGCAGACACCAGACTGAAATATGACAGACTTGAACCTTAACCCTGAATATTCCTGCTGCGACTGTGCCGTTTTATGACAAGCGGTTAATAACACCTTGAGGAAGTAAAAATCTTTGTAGGTGTACCATGTTTGAAGTTAATGGTCTCTCTCCTCAGGGGTGTTGATTTACAAAGTCCTTGAGTTTAATATTATGCCTATGTGTTACTAGTTCAAATCAAACACATTTCAAGGGGAAAAGTATATCAAGAGTTTAACAAGAATCTTCTAGAACTTTCTACAATCCTTTTGCTAAACCTTTACTTAGATTAATCACACAAGTTCCAGACCATGAAAATGACCATACACCAAACTTGACATCATTTATTGCAACATGTAGTTTACTATTCTCAGTTTAAATAGTGTTTTCAAATCTCACCAGACTACCAAAAAACACTCGGGGCATCAGCCCAATCTGTTTCATCTAAAGGAATTATTTAACACTTCAGGTTATTTGCTTAATGCTTTTCTTTCAGAGAGTTAGGAGATTGTAGATGACAAGATATGGAGCTGAACTGTTAGCCTAGCTTTGCATAAAACTTGAAGCAAGAACTAACAACGAGCCTGTCTCCATCCAAAGGTTGAAAAGAAAACCTGCCGTCTCCCAGAAAAGCCTTTCATCAGCTCACTAGTTTATATCTACATCTTCTTTGTTGATTTTGATCAAAAAAAGTGTGAAATCAACATGTTGTTTAATGTGCCAGACTAGTTTTTGGCGAGGTAGATTTTAATCTCCGCTGGCTTCTGGGCAACCTCCAGTGACTATGAGACTCCAGAAAGTTCATGATTCCTGCCAAGAAACACTCTGTTTTGTTTCATTGGAACAGAGCCAGGCTAGCTCTTTCCTCTTGCTTTCAGTCTTCATGCAAAGCTAAGCTAACTGGCTACTACCTTTAGCTTACTTAACAGTCATGGAAACTGTGTCATTCTTTTCATTTAACTCTCCAAAGGAAAAAGGGAATAAGAAATATCAACAATAGTCAACCATTCCTTTAAACTACTCAGACATGTTTGCAACATGAAACAACAGACATTTAACACAGCAGCATAACACTCAGTTGCCAGTTTATTATCGCACTTCCTTTGGTTTTAGCTAGTTGTTGCTAATAAAATGGCGACGGAGTGTTAGGTCATTACTCTAACGATGCAAAGGCTTCTTTAGCATCTTTTCAGCTGTGTAGCTGTGCTGCAGACCCAGGAGTCCTAAAAGGTTTTTTTTTTTGGTTTTTTTTAACGAGGAGGAGCTGAATTAAGTTCAGATCACAGCATGCACGCTTGGCACAGCAAACAGGCCGGTGCAGGTGTTACTTACTCCATCCTGGTGACCCAGACACAACACAACAGTGAGAGGAGAAGAAGGACTTGTGAGTGAGTGATGTGAACAAGCAGGAATATGAAGAAAAAAAAAATGATTATGAAAAAGACATGAAAATATGGGGGGGGGGGAAGGGGAATGAAGGGCATCAAGTAACAAGGCAAGGCAATTCATTTAACTCCATTTAGTCCATACAGTGCACTCACACTCTGTTCTGCATGTGTTTGCATGCAAATACTTAATTACAGGGACCTGATGGTTTCTATGTAACTGACCTAATGGAACAACTCAACTCATAAAATGGTGTGCTACGTGTGTGCTGAGGTATCAAATAAATGCTCTTCCATGTGTAAAATCATAATGTGAACATTATGGGTATGTTGTTGTGTTTTCTGTGCATTGTGCATTTCCTCACTTTTAGTGGCAATTGCCTACTATGAATTGCTGCCTTTACAGTAGAAATCACTTGCCACAAAAAATAATAATATCACCCATAGGGGGCAATGAAGCTGAAATAATCTGATCTGAATGGTGTTTTAGCAGCCCCTTAGTTCTTGTTGATAAGCTCCTCATGGGTACCAAAACATGCACGCTAGCAGCCTAGGGCAAAATCCTTTTAAATGTAAAAGAAAAAAATCTTTGGGTGCTCAGATTCCATCCTTGTAGAGTAAGAGAGAAAGGGGAGAGGCTTTGATGTGCCATTTGTCTTACCTCAAATATCTCAAAGCCATAGATGTCGAGCACACCCATGACTTTGTGTCGAGTTTTGGCTTGTGCCTTCAGGGAGACAATAAAGTCGATATTAGAAATACACTAGGACAGAGCGGTAATGCCAGTTTGAATGAGCATGGGAAAATATGTTCAAAAAAGACTGAATTATTTATTAAATCAAACAAAAGTGTATAGTCCTTCACATAACTTACTTTAATGCTTTCGTTGATCCTGGTGACTAGCCAGCTAAACAGACGACTGTAGAGGTTTTTGGCGAGGGCATCCCGGGCGTAGTAGGCCTTTAAATAAACACACATTTTGGTTGGAGAAACGTTAATAAAGCCCTCGACAGACAGTGCATGAGTTCATTTGTACTTGATCTTTTGCACATCCAAAATGTCAGTACTTGAAAAACATGTTTAGTGTTAAACCTGTGCTACCTGTGAAGGTCAAGAATGTATGAAAGAAAATAAAACCTTCACAAAAGAATACACTTATTCATGAATACGATGGGGGGAAAAAAAAGATTAAGGACACCAGCAAAAACAGGTCAAAAAGGTGAAGTTAATTCTAAAATCAGAAGCAACAGAATGATGGAGAGGGCCAAGGTCTTCAGCACCATCACTGTATGAGCAGTCTGAGTGAACTCACTAACCTCTTAAACATGACCTATATTTCAATAACCAGGGGGGATAGAGCTTATCTATAATGAAGAGGTTTTCATGTAGCACTGACATGGATGAGAGGCAGCAGCCTGAGGAGCAAGTCAGGGGGAAGAAATGCCCCTTCATCTTTTTTATGCACTCCGAGTGCTTGTGTGTGCATGTATGTGTGTTCTAATGTCAATACAAGTAGGGTGTGCAATGGTGTAACTGGTGCAAGGCCGATGTGGTACTCTGCCTCTGACCTGGGAAACATTCAGGGTGGTGGACACTTTCTCCAGCTTAGCCTCCACTGTACGATAGCTGAACGCTCTTTCCAGCACTGACTGTTCGATCCCCAGCAGCTCGCACATCTCCTTCAAATCTGCAACACATGCAAACCGCAGGCAATAAGCAAATCATTGAGACGTCGTGAGGAACGATATGATCATTTTACTTAAAATTGCAGCTAAACATAGATGGTGAGTGGAAAGTAATGCCAAAAAAAAAAAGAGTCAAATTGTCGTTGATTTCTTAGATTAAAGTGGAAGTTTCGATGAAAATGTAACTTCATGTGTTCATATCTTATGGACTAATCCAGTGTGGCTCAGATGACACGGCAAGTGCTAGAAAAGGAAGAGTGCTGTAAAGTTATTTTGATACAAACTATTTTATAAATCCCTTGGGGAGAAAAATAAAAGGAAGGGGAAAGCATGAGATTAAATTATCGGCAATATGTTGCAATGTCATTGCAATAAAGCAGTGATTTATATGAAAAAAACAAACATATTTCCTTGGAAAGAGTGGCACAGAGATAGATCATGCCACTGCCATAGAGGGAAATATGTAAATGTTACACTTCCCCGAAGAGAACAGCTGTGAGAGTGATAACACAAACACTTCTCGTTTCAGAAATAAGTATTTGGTAGGGGTGACTGCAGGAGAGATGAAAGCAGCCAAGAGGGGGCAGTGGATCCCCATCAGGCCATTTGTATGACGAAGGATTGTATGTTTAAATATTCACATTATGTTAAAAAATAAACACAATTAATTAACTAATTAATTGAATTATTCACCTTTTTTCAAACCAAAATAAATGCTGAAGCAGCTCATTTATTCCTCGAGCACGTCACTGCCAAATCATTCAAATGAGGTTGGAGATGTGTCATAAAAGGATCAGAGGTATTTTCATTTCCCTTTCGCTTCCTGTTTGGTCATCAGTCAGAAGAACCCACCGTTTTTGTCTTTGATGCGACTCTCGTCTGTGCCGTTACAGCGGGACTCTGGCTTGAACTCTATGTTGCCGAGCTTCAGCACGGCCGCCACCAGCTCCAGCACTGACTGCACCTCGTCCTCCATGAAGCCCACGATCTGCATGGCATTCTGGGAAAGGCAAAAAGGGAATCAGTTGCTGATCAGTTTGTTGAATGTCAATGTTGAGTGTCAACAGACACAGGGTCACTTAAGGAAACCAAGCTAAAGAGCACTCTAGCTTCCTTTATAATCATTATGATAGTAGTTGTTCGACACATCTGTGATGTATATGTACCCTGCACACAATTTAGTTTTATACCCAACGTTCCCAATTTGTGCAAACTGGAATAGGTAAGTAAGAGAGGACTGATTTACTGTGCCAACCTTCTAACATTTAACTCAAGAAAGCAATCTATTGGGGCGCGCTGGTGGCGCAATGGTTAGTGCGCGCGTCCCATGCATTGAGACTCTCGTCTCGAGCGGTAGGCCCGGGTTCGCTTCCACCTGTGACCCCTTTCCGCATGTCATTCCCCGCTGTCTCTCCCTGGTTTCTGACTCTATCCACTGTCCTCTCTCTGCATTAAAGGCACGAAAAGCCCAAAATAAATCAATAAAAATAAATTTTAACATTTTAAACTAAATCCAAGTGCACCACACTAGTGCTACATTTGAGACAGCATCCTTTACTAACAAAGAAAAGACATTTCATTTCAAATCTTAATTTAAGTCTCAAAAATCATTGAGGTTTCCCTCACGATGTCGAGATACAAATCAAAACAAAACAAAAAAAAGAGCACAAATAAAACAACAGAGACAGGATGATTCTGAGGAAAAACAATCGCACACTGTGGTGAAGTGGTTTGAGATCATTGTCTTAATTTGTCCAAGAGAAACAAGAGTGTCTTGAGAGTGTGTTGTAAATTACTCTACATTCCACAACTTCCACAATGAAGTTAAGCACATGAGAATATTGTGTTTAAAAACCTTACATGTCGAATGTGCTATGGCGCTGCATTACTTCCAGACTTGTTGACATTAAACTAGTATTGTTGTCGAGTCCTGTTTAAGAGAGTGTGGTCATCTTTAGGTACACCACAGACGAGGCCATGTGGAGGGCCTCATTGTTCAGTGGGAATGTCCTCTTGTGTTTCCTGTGGTGAAACGCAGCTGTGTGGGGAGCACTGTGAAAACTGAGTGTGAGAGGTGATGAGAAGCAGGATGTAGAACGTAAGGAAACCAGTCGAGTAGAATGTGGCATAACAGAGTGCAGGGACAGCCGCTTATACAGAGGCTGAGTAACCCACAAAGGAGCAGGACTGATAACAATGGAGAGCAGGAGACATGGTTTCTCTTGGACACAATATTCGACATGCCGCTGTCAGTGAGAAGGACAAGTGGTCGCCTTGAATGTGGATTTCTTTTTCAACAAAGAGGAAGCAGCTGGGTGTACCAAAGACATGCTCCTGCTACTGTTCAGTTATAAACTTTGAACTTTAGTCAAAAGCTGCACATTGAACCCATAGTACTTCAGGCTTTCGTTCACTTTAAAGTTCCGGTTCAGTTCAAGGGGTCACCTGGTTTTTGCAACAGGTGGGACCGAGTCTGGTGTGGAGGCTTTTCATAATAGAGACGAGTGACTTTCAACACCCTCTTCGTTCCTTATGTTCAGGAGATAAGGAGAACCTCTCTGTGCAGGAATTAGATTAACTCTGTGTGAGGCAACAACAAATGCCTCTTCAGCATCGCCTGGTCTGTGATGAGCATGTGACATTTGTTTCACCTTGTGATTTTTTTTATATGACGATCCATTTGTGATTTAGGACAGTGGTACTCAAAAGTGGGTCGTGGAGCCGTGTTGGGTGTCTGCCCAGAAAAAACAAAAAATCTGATATTTGGGTGGTGATTTATCATCAAGGAGTTGGTGGTGGGTCCTGGGGCTAGACCAGATTTAGATTTAGATTTAGCTATGCCTTATGCAAAATGGGAGGGCCTGACCTCCGGAAATATAGTTCTTGACTTCTAAACTTGATTTTTATTTAATTTTTGTTCCTAATCTAATCAGATTTTTATTTTTATTTTTTATTCCTACCAAGAATTTAGTAGGGCTTTTTTCTTAAAAGATCAAATAGGATAAAGTCTAAATATAGGTAGAGATAGTAAGCGTGTTAATATGTGTATGTTCTACTCACTCTGACTGTCCTGAAGTTGGCCGCATCATCCAGCCCGTTGACCGCAGCAGAGTCCAGGCTCAGGTAGTTGTACTTGCTGAAGTCCCGATCCAGCTTCAGCTTCTCTGCGACACACAAACCATGTGGTTGCTATTTAACCTACATTTGTTTACAGCGTGTTGGCTAATGGAAAGTTAAGCCTTATTTACATTCAATGGATGTTTTCACATGTGCAAACTCACAGCTGGGAGCTACCTGATAAGCAAAAAAAAAAAAAAAAAAAAAAAAGCTTGCAAAAGTGGAAACTTCAAGGACCAATCGAAATCCCTTGATGACGCAAAGGTTCGAACAGGTGACACGCATGCCAAATGTGTTCAACCTTTGCCACTCCAAACACAATTTCTCCACAGTGAAGGCTCGTACTGCTGTGAACATTTTTTTTTTTTTTTTCCCCCGGAAGATCAAATGGTCGCCTTAAAAGCCCCCTTTCTAGTGGCAAAGAAATCTATTCCTCTCGTGGGCGCATGTGTCGGATTTCATTAGTGCCTGCATTAGCTACAGCTGAATCAAGCTCCTCTGATGTGCGTGCTCTAGAGTCAATGACCATTATATTGTTCTCCTGTGTTGAGGACAGAAAAAAAAACAAAAAAAACAATGCCCTCTGTCCACAGAAAAAGCAAATAGAGGGAACAGGTTTCCACGGCTGCTCTTTGTTCTCTGTGCTGTTTGTTAGGCAGGAAGGTTGGCTCATTAATGCAGCAGCCATGTGTTTTGTGCAGCTGCTAACCTGCCGGAAAATATTTATGGACGGTTTCAGCGTAAGGGACAGCATGCTGGTAACTCTGCATGTCAATTAAAGTCGAAGAAAAATTACATTTATAACATTTAAAAAGACAGAAAGAGGGGATCACAAACCCTGCGCTAGTGTTAACCACAGTCTGGGTTTTGTCACTCAAATCTAAACAATGTGGCAAAGTTGATTCATCGCTTCCTGTGAGCAGAGCATTTTCTATTCTGGGATTAGATATTATTCCGAACAAACCTACATATAGATACATTTGTTCTCAGTTTTTTCTTTAAGTATTTCAATCAGCCCATTCGTCCTCAGGTCTCTTCACTACTCAATTTTATTCTCCAGGCTATGAGAGAATAACAAAGCTTCCATTCGAGTCCCACTTCCAGCATGTTTACCACTTACTGAGCGTGTCATCCGAGGCTCCAGACAAAAGCTGATAAAAGACGTGGAAGTTCCTCTCTCCTCTTGGCTGTTTCACCACACGTGACTTCTCCAGCAGATCTAAAAGCGTAAGAAGGACAACAAAGAGGAAACAATGAAGCATGATGACGATGAGCGGTTTCCTGACAGTGGCGTTCAAAGTGTGACTTCTGCAGAGGTGTCCTTGAAACGTTAATTACAACTAACCTGCTATTGTAAGTATAACGGACATACAACATCTGTGCGGAGCTCCGCAGGGTATCTGGTTGGTACCACTGGCTGCATTTAAGTCGCCATGGTGATCTAGCCAATGACGGTAATTATTTGTGCGTATAAACATACTACAGGAAGTGCACGAGGAAGAAACCAAAACGTCAGCCCTTTCTTCTGGGCTGCAGACCAAGTGCAACAGTACCTGATTAAAAGGGGAGCCATCATCTGCTCACCGCATTAGGCAGAGTATGATTTAATTAAAGGCCAACTGCATAGCTAAGCGTCTGAGGCTGCAAGAGATCCTCTTCACTGCCAGTCTGGCTGGATAATAGCATTCAATTTGGCGGCTCAGAAAACATCTTATTTTTAGACTTTTACATTACAGTGAGGAGATCATTCTGGGGTTTAAAATGTCCAAAATTTCGGCCATTTTACTTTTGGCCAAATTGCCAGTCAAAAGGAAAAGGGAGAAGAAGAAAAAAAGAACTGCTCAGGCCTTTTTTTTTTCCTCTCCAATTTTTAGACATTACAAACTCTGACTCACCAGTCTGTGGGTGCTGAGAGGACAAGAGTGCCACTTTGCTCTGCATCTGCGGATACAGTGCAAACACCTACCTAGAGAGCTCCACAGAGACCTGATGTTGTCAGTGTTAGGGGGGTGGATCAGGCCAAATGAGAATATATGGCACCCACTGGCCATGAATCACATAAGTGATTCGATAAGAGCCAACACATCAATAATACAACATAGATGACTGAGTGGCTGGCGGCAGCACTCCACAGGCTGTGCTCAAAAGACGCAGAGAGTGTAAGAAGAATTCAACTAAAGAGCAGCTTCCTCCATTTCTGCATCTTATTGAAGATTTTTTAATATATTTCTTCCCATTTCTCGTTGCTTCCATTCTCTTAATATCCTCATCCTCGGGGGACTGAAGTGACCTTTCACATTGCGTCCCGCCAAACAGTTATGTCATCCTATTATTGCTTTTTAAAGCCAAAGCTTCCCTTTTTTTTTTTTTTTTTTTTTTTTTGCTGTAAAGCCTTCTGAACAGCATATATTGCATGCTCTCTTTGCCCTCTTAGATAAACAAACACACATTAAGGCAGCAATAAGGGGACAATATCCTGTTGTGTTTTGAGACAGGGCTTTGGCTGACTGGCGGCCTAAAAAAAGAAAATAAATGGCTTCAAGATCTAACCCAAGTTGTGTGAAGCACTGAGGGCTGGAAGGATATACATCTAGGGTTATATAATAAACTGAGAGGTGCAGAGAAATCAATCCCGGATTGCCCTGTAAGAGCATCCTCATCCATCTGTCTAGCCAGCCAGCCAGCTCTGTCTGAGGCAGTCACATGTCAGTGGGTCTGCCTCACAGACGGGCCCTTGTGTTGGACTAACTGGGAACAGCAGACAGCTGTCATCTGTGTGTTGGCCATCAGCTCCCTGCTTTTGTTTCTGTGACCTCTGTCGGCGGAGGCGACGCAGACAAAACAATGTGAAGAGAGTCGAGATGAAACCGAAAAACAGATAACGCCAAAAGCTAAGGAGAGAAAGTATGTGGGTGGGTGATGAGGTGCGCTTTGTAAACTCCAGGAACACAAATCATTTAGATATCGCCAAGTGTGTGACTGACTGTGCCTCAACAACCAGCTTCTAAACTGTAGCTGGTATTTATTTATTTTTTTTAAATAGTTTTACTGTTTAATGACGTTGCTGGGAGAAATGGGGATGTTATAATAAGCAGGACAAAATGTGCTTATTGTGCTGCCCTTTAAATATACTTACAATTGCATGTACATTTACACCTCAATACTACTCACAGTTGCTGATGACCCCACCGAGAGGATCTCCTTTGAAGTCAAACTCAATGTCCATGTACTTTCCCTGCAGACACAAGTGAACAGTTAGAACTGAATGTACAGAACAGAAACAAACACATTATGCTGTGACTTGAATCCAACTTCAGCTCATGAGTTCAATTAAGTTCACAATGAGAATCTCTGTATAAACTAAGTGACTATACAGGCCCAGCGGCAGTCATTAGCTGCTAAGAAAGAACTACAACTAGCAGACTTATTTGACTTTTTTTCCCCCTCTCTGATGTATTAATAGCATTTGGTCCTCCAAAAACAAAGGCAGAGGTCTACTGGTGAGTGAGCTCCTTCTAAAGTCAAATCCACTTAGAAAAGTGAAGTGACGGCTTGATTCTTAAGTCTCGGTTAAACTGATGGAGCTCTGATAAACTGGTTCTAGTTGGACGGCCTGTGATGCTTTATCTGGAGGTTTATGCCAAGGTTACCTAAATATAAATAGATCAGGGGCATAATCCTTTATAATTCTCCCTGTTACAACTGCAAGTCCAACCACTGGCATGTACACGCATGAAGTGGTGTAGCTAGAAGATTGAAGATAGCAGGGACGGGGAAATGTAAAATTGGGAAAGTACTGGCATGTATAACCAGTTTCCATTAAACATTCAAAAAAAAAAAAAAAAAAAAACCTTTCAGTCGCTTAGCTGCAGACAGTGTTTTGCAATCAGACTTTTGGATGTACTGGAACATTCTTCATCTAAACTGGTTTGCTTTTAGAAACATTCATGTTTAAAAAACAAATGTACATGAACAAACGTGCTAGTGTGATGCAATGAGGGAGGAAACCAAAGCGGGCTACTGGAGCGAGATGCCAGGAACTGTGTGAATGCCCTCTCGGGAAACCAAAGAGCAAAACGCAACCGTCTCTTCATCATACTGCCACTGTCTGGGATTTTTTTTTTTTTTCTGGATTCTTGTCCGTCTATGTAAAGAATCATGCAGACACTGAATCATTCTTATGATGCTATCTCTGCGTTCCATAGAGATGTGCCTTAGATTTCTTCAGTTTCCTCATTCTCACCCTTAGAGGTTGCATGGGGAATCATGAGAGCAGACTGTCTGAAGCTTTACAAACAAGCAAGTGTTTTTTTTTGGGGGGGGGGGGAAACAGAGATGGATAGAATTAAAACTCAGATAAGAGATTTGAGTTTCTCTTGGACAGGGAGGTGCTAAATAGTCAGTGTGCTTAGTGTGCACTGGCATGAGGCAACACACTGCAGCAGATGAAAAGCAGTGCAGGTTCAGAGGCCTTGCCATGTATGCCGAATGGAGAGCATTTACAAAGCCATTTAACATGGGCAAGCGTAATACATCAAGTGTGCAAGGCCTGCTGTTATCGAGTGTGAGCTGGCGTGAGGTACAGATCCAACATATGTCCTCACATAATATGTAAAAGGATGTTATTTCTGTCATTTTCATAACTCAAGTGGAACTGTCCTGTGAATCACGTTCCAACGTGCGTCATTTGCTAAGAACGAGTCTACAGGAAACATCGGCCATGACATTTTGCGAGCTTTGAAGGAAGTTTAGAAGGCAAACACCAGCAGGCCCGTGATATCCATCGAGCGGTTACAGAGGCTGTTCTGACAGCGGCACTTGGGTTTAAGACAGAATAGCTGTTATTAAAACGGATCCTGTTCAACCAATTCAAGAAGTGGAGGAGAATAAGCTACTAAAACATTGCTGATCCTGCTCGACGTTCTAGTTAATAAGAGCCAAATTTTCATTGGCGCAAGGGTGAATAAATACGTGTAAATATATCACAAGAAATCTGGAGAGGGGCACACAAGAAGGGAATGAAGGAAAACTCTGAGGCTTATTTTAAAGGCAAGAGAAAACATTGATGAAAGGGACAAATGATGCACTCGTTCAAAGAAGTTTGTATGTGAGCCTGCAAGCTGCGCATATTATCTAGCAACAAGTGTGGCTTTGTTAGGGAACAAATCAATTACAGGGAAACAAATCGAGTTGTTTATCAGTTCTGGAGAGGATACTTACAAATCTAGAAGAGTTGTCATTCCTTACTGTTTTGGCATTTCCAAAGGCTGAAAGGGAGAGAAGGGAAAAAAAACAAACATAATTTGATATGATGGCAACATTGCAACCACTGCATGATTAATGCAAATCCATCTCGTACAAAGTTAAAGTCAATGAATCAAAGCTTGTTTACAAATATTTCAAACCCCGGCAAAGTGATGCTTAACATTGTGCCTCGTTTCCAGCTAGCTGTCAATCATAAAAGGGGCCGGATGTCAGAGCCATTTGTACTGATGAGGCACCATAACTCTGCGTGGATTAGGCAAAGCACCAAGGCTTTCCAGGCTTAGGGAGGACTGAACCTTGCTGTCACAACACATTCAAATCAAAAGGGCTTCAGTATCTGCCAGCATTTTTTGATAACAAATAAAAACAAACAGGACTCTAAAAAGTCTTGTCCAGCATGATTTTTTTTGGGTTTGTGAGAACATTAAACACATAAACAAGTGTGCGTATGTAGGCCATGTGCTATGTGCATACATTTTCTGAATGCCGGTTTCCAATCCAGGGCCCTCTCAATTCCCTTCTAACCACATTCCTACATTAACAAGCTATTAAATGTGTCGTGCATCAAAGTGCTACTAGCACAACTGCTTCATGGCTGATAACAGATGATTAGTGTTTAATTCTAGCATTGAGAAAGGAAGAGGAATCAGAGCAAGGCATGAAGAGGGGGCAGAGGGTGACAAAGAATGGAGCCAATAAAGATTATGAAAGAAAGCGAAGCAGAGAGTCACAGAGATGAGAGCATCAGGCAGACACGCTGTGAGTAGCACTGGAACTGTGCTCCCCTCTCCCTTCCTTTTTAGCTGAAGGCCAATTAGATCGGCAGGAGTTAAACTCTTGCAGATGTGCAGGGTTTCTGAGGCGATTCAACCCGGGCATACAGCTTCATCATTCATGGGCACTTCCTGTCCACTGCCCCCAATTAAAATACAGCTGTTCATGTGCCAGCACTGAGCTGTGGGAATAAAACACTGTGTGTGTTTGTTGGTACGTGTGTGTGTGTGTGTGTGTGTGTGTGTGTGTGTGTTGAACAAGGGAGAAGCTGAGGAAATAAACAAAACAACAAAAGTCCTTTAAATACCGTGTATTGTTTTTCTTTGATTAGTTTGCTTTTTTGAGGCAGTCATAATTCACACATGAGCAGCTCACTTATAAACTTTGGGCTGTTAGCTACTGAGCTGTAATACACATTGAAAACCTGATTTTGGCAAAATAAGGATGCTTAAAAAAAAGATCTTTTAAATAGGTGTTAACATGTTGTCAGACGTGTCCTAATGCAGGATTCCAGATGTGAATTGAGACGTATCGCGAGTGTGATCGGCGCTCACTCACCCTCCAGCACTGGATTGGACTGCAGCAGCTGTTCCTTGACCTTATTAACCTCCTGGCCCTTCCCACACACCGCTGCCACGTATGACATCACCAGCTTACTGGCCTCTGGAACACACACAGACACACACAGATGAATATTAAGGTCAAAGCCTTTGCTAGACATGACTGAGGAGAAAGTGTGCTGTGCCTACACCATCTCAAAATTTCCCATTAAATCCACAGTTACCTCATCCCCCCTGACAGCCATCAGAGCAGGGTGGGGATCGTTCATTAGTCTGGGGTACAAGAAGGGAGCCTCAGAATGGAGACCCACTTTGTTTAGGTAGACGATGACCTTTATTTCATCATAATCGCATCATTTAAATGACTAATTTCACTGGGAACCAAGAGTGTGTGCTGATGAAACGTGACTGTATTTGGATTGTCGGATATGATCCCCGCTCATCCACTTTTCATGTTGGAGCTGAAATGTGGCGCGAGTGAAACGTGTTCCCGAAATGATTCTCCAAATGAGAATCGGGACACGAGCTCAAAGGCATCGTGTGCCGTCAGAAACAGACGACATGCCTTGTAGAATGACTGCTGGCATCAGGATCATCTCCCCCCGTCCAGTGAGATGACAGTGACCCAGAACTAATGATGTGTGTGTAATGTGCCAAGGAGGGATAGAAAAAAAAAAAGAAGCTTGACAGTAGTTGCTGTTTCTGACTGCTGATGAGCCTGGCATACAAACGGCTCCAGACACGCTCATACATTTTGCAATGGTAAGGGAGGTGTATGCACCGCTTAATCTTCACATTTTTATCTCCCAGGGTAGCAAAATAAAGTCTCTCAGTCTCAGATAGAACTTTGTTATGTCTGCACGCCGTGCTGGCTTCTGATGATGATGTTCGTCACAGCTCCTGACTTCTATAGAAATCATAGCATGACAAAGCACAACAAAAGCTCCAGCAACACATAAATGTCGATGACCCATATCGGTGGGGCACATTTTTGATGGCCTTATTCCACTCGACAGCTTCATGAGCAAAGAGATTATCAAAATCCAAATTTATCTCCTGTGCTAGTCTGAGCAGCTCCTTGGAGTGAGGTCTTAAAAATCCTCAGGAGGCTGAGAGGGCTCAAATAAAGGCCAGCCAATCCTGCAAAACATGATCGGACAAACTGTACTGTCCTTTCCACGGCTTGTCATCGTTCTGTTTTTATGGTTAATCTTGATAACTGGCTACTACTGGAGTGTTGACAGTGGCTTTCGTTAAAATGGTTGAGAGGCTTTTATTGCGCTTGATGTTCTTTGTCAAAAATACAAGTAAAGTTGTGATATCCGATTCTGAACTACAGCCACATATCACTTTGACAAAATGTAACAAAAAGCATGACAACATCCAACCTATACAGATAATACTTATAACAAAAGTTCAAAAGCACACAGAGGCATGTGTTTGTTATTTATAGTCCCCTCTACATTTTAATTTAATCAGAGTCATAAATCTGATTCTAATGGAAAACTTTCAATTATGAGCAGCTATCTCGTTTTGATTAATGTTCCAATTTAATCAGAATCTGGATTTATTATCGTGAATGTTAACACATACAAGGAATTAGCTGTGGTGGTGCATAACAATCAATACATATTTAGAATAGAAAAATAGAAGGCAAGTATTCGATACTCCTACTCAGGGACGTGTCCTGACTTTTTTCATTGGGTGGCCCAACTGGGGCGCTGACTTAGGATTGTTCCCCTCTGGACACGTACCTGCTACTACTTTCAATTTGATCCCATAATAAAGACTTGATGGTTCTATTTATGTCAATGTTTTTTTCAATACCTCCCAGACCTTGATTAAAGCCACATGGACAGTTACAACTAGAACATGGACACTGTGATTACAATTCACTCCAACACTTTGGTCTACAAATCCAGATGATCGTTTTCTTAGTCTGAAGCTGACAATCAAAAAGCAACGATCATCAGTCTAGGCAGTTAGTGATGCCAGCACTATAAATGATTTTGTATGTGAAAGTATATTCAATAACCGATCAAAGCTGCAATGCCGCAAGTAGCTGCACAGGAATCAATCATTTATGCGACCTCAGTGGAGAGGTCAAGATTTTACAATTCCAAGTATGAATAGGCGCTTGTATCTTCACCGGACAGGAAGATGTTTTATTGGTATATTGCAGCTGATTTCCCACAGTTTATTTATGCTCTGCCAACTCAATATGGCTTTTACCTTTGACACAGTACTGCCAACAGAGTCCAGGAAATTCCATTCCTCTTGGCTTTTTTCTGTAAGGTATGTGATACTCCTCCAGAACATGGCCACAGGATAATAAGAAAAAACAACCGAAATAAAGAACAGGGACCTGCATTCAGCTGCCTGAAGCATCAGCAGGCTGCAGTTCATATTTTTTGATCAAAGCACAGTGGGACATGTGCATTTAGTCCTCTGGACAGGGTCGAGTGAATATGGGCCCAATTCAGGAGTTTCCGTCACATTTCATGTACCAACATGACGTTTTGAAAGACCTAGCATCAAACTGCCTTTTAGAAAGGGTGATCTGATGTAAATCTGCACTGTGGCTCTTTTTCCAAAACAACCCTTATCTCACAGCTGCCTTTAAAGCACGTTTTGACTACATTTAAACCAACTTTAGTTCCAAACTACAAACAAGAGGAGATGAGCAGACAAAAAGGCACTATGCTACATTTTTAACCCTCTGGGGAGCTACTGCCTGACATCTTTGTAAAGATGTGATGCCCATTTAGAGTGTCGTTCCCTTGTCTTATTATGAAAAATACTTTCTATTCTTAATTCTCGGAGCATAGGACATAAGTGATGCATATTTACATACTAAGGAATATGTTAAAAAGGAGTAATGACGTGGTTCCACTCACCAGTTTTCCCCGCCCCACTCTCCCCTGTGATGAGGATGCATTGGTCCTTGTCCTGGTCTCTCAGTGAACTGTAGGCCTCATCTGCCAAAGCATATCTAGAAGACAAAAGAACATCATCATAAGCCTTCAACAACATGCCCTCAGTTTACATTACTTCCTTATGTTCCAGTATCCAACAAGATATTTTGGGATGTGAAGAAAACTGTGTGAAAAAAGTTCAGTGAAATGTTATGATACTTAGCCAGGCCACATGGCAGCCATTCTAATCAACGGCATGTGGCTTTAATGGAAATGAGGCCGCATCTGTAGGACAGCCACAGACGCTTTATATAGATACAGTGGCTGCTTCACATTCGTGATTTGGCTCAGATAGATGGCATACTGATCATTTCCAACTCCTTTTTGCTGAACCCAACTACTTAACTGACACTTACGAAGCACTTCCACACCAACACATAAAAGCAAGTTAAAAGCCTTGTAATCCTCATGTCAAGTCCCTGTTTACTTAGTTAAATTGTTACTCAATCCCTTGTTTTCAGTCACTATATGAAAATATAGTTATAAAGTATCACTTCAATTACACAAAGGCTGGGTCCTAAGTCAGCCAGTCAGTTTCCATTTAGAGCCGAGTGCAGCTATGACTAGTCTTAATAGTGGAGCAAAATGCCAGAGCAGGTAGCTACTGTAAGGGCTAGGCTAACCAACTGAATCTAAAAATAGAAACCAGCGGCTTCAAACTGCAGTTCAGATGACTGAAGCTCAAGAGGTTACGGGAGGAAAGTTATCAATGAAGGTTTAATTACTGTTGCTAGGATATTTTGTTTTTGCTAGCCAGTGTACAGTTAATGGAGACACTATAGCAAGGAACTACGAGCTAGGCTAATGTCGACAGAATCCCCTAAAAGAAACCAGCAGCTTCCAACTACAAACAGCAACGACAAATGAAGCTTGTGGGGTTAGAGAAGACTAATTAGAGTTTCAGTTTCTGATGCCTGTGTGTCTTTGTTGCTAGTAGATGTTAAGTTGACGGCACCAGTATAGAGACATAAGGGTATATTTCTCTGTGATGTAGGTCAGTGTGAATACGGTTACATGGTAACTTATACAAAATTAAACATTCATTGAAATAATTAAATAAAGATATTGAATGCTGGATGACTAGTCGACTAATGGCTCAAATTAATGAGTACTAGACCACTAGGAAAACCCCATTCCCTCCTGGCAGTTTCAGTTGTAATTCTGGATAACTCAATTAGAGGCTAAAATGTAAATTTCTTCTTGGTGGATTAGTGAAGGATGAAAGAGTAGGGCCTATTCCTGAAAGAAGTCTTGTCTTACATTCAAGGACAATGATACAAAGGGAAAGTGGGACAATTTTCGTCTCCGCCCCACCCTACACTAGATTCCTGAACAATACAGTAGTTGTACCTTTTATGCCGACGATACATTTTGATGGTTCGAGAGAAGGGTGTGGATGGTGTGAGGGCCAAGTCACAATGACAGTTTTTTGTTCTTGTGTGGCACAATGGCCTGTGATTTGAATGTGATACAGCCTCAAAGAAAGAAACACAGAAGGGTGAGGCTGCAGCAACACATTTTACAACTTCCATCTGGCAAGCTTGTACAGTACTTGTACAGTACTGCAATAATTATTTTCAAACTTTCTCTTTCAGCAGGACGCGAGACTGCAAATTAGCTTTCTTAAGTCTCCCTTCCCCACATACTTTGCATCTATTACTCAGGAATTTTTTGCAAAGCCACATTCGGTAATAACGGTGATTGCGCCGTATGATACACTCAAAATTGTCTTTTCTATTGAATAGTTTGAGACAAGGTGAAGTGGTTTTTAAAACTATATCATTTAAGACCACCGTGATCAACTGGGCCAGGTTAGTTGAGACTGTCTGTGCAGGGGGAGCATCACAGGGGAGAAACTTGACTAAACCTTGATCTCACTTGGGAATATCAGTGAGAACATTTTGTTTCAGGCTCTAAACCAATCCAATGCAGAAAAAAAAAAAAGAGTTGGACAATGAATCCTGACCAGCTCTACAAGGTTTCCAGGTTGGGTTTAGTCTTTCATCAAAACCATCAAAGTGTTTTCACATTTAAAGAAAAGATCAACATCTTTAAGACTAATGTTTCACATCAAATACAGAGCAAATATAGCTTGAGGTAATTTTGTAGGAATGCATCAAAATATTCCCTCCCCAGTGTCTAATTTGGTCCTTGCCTGGAGTGTAGGGGCACTCCAATTCTCCCAGGTTTAAGTAATATCATTAATCAAGTATTTAAATGCACCAAGTACTAGACTTGAATGCAGATAGGAATGTCTGACGTTCACAGATACTGACAGGTATTTTCTTAAGGCACAACCGATGGGTGCTGAAGCTGGATCTAAAAGAGGATGTTGAACTGGGATAACATTAACCTGCAGAGGCAATGCTGTCAGAATTAGGCACACTGCAGTCCAAAATATAATGTGGCACCAAACAGCCAGGTAAAAAGAAGTTTGGATGAAGTTTTATGTTATATCTAAAGGAATTGTTCAGACTGCCTTGAATGAATTTAAGTCTATACACTGAATAGTAATGCCGAATTGTCCTGCAATTTGATTATTATGGAGCCCAAATTGAGGAAAAAAAGGCTTAACATCAAGCATTCTTAGATTCAGCAGTAAATGCTTAAGGGAGCTGGGTGCAATTGGAACCAGAACTTGCAGCGTATAATCACACGCTGAACTAACACTGACCCCAAATTTGAAAAGAATCTGATTGCAAGTAAGAAGCTATGAAGGAGGGGAGCCGGAGAGAGAAGCCAAATGAATGCATTCCAGGCCACAATGCACAGTTAAATCTCAGGCTAGCTAATGGAGCTAAGGGTTCTACACTATTGCACATCTTTTTGAACCAGGGCCCAAGCAGCCCCCCCCGATCAGTCCTTCTTCCCCTAACTCTCAAGTACTGGCCCTCCACTAAAACCACCTTAGGAAAATGGAAAATCCAGAGTTTTATCATAGAAATTGCTTTTAAGTCAAACTGGTGTAGGCCTGGTAAAGACTCAGAATTATTCATGAAGCCCTGTCTTGTTTTACTTCTCTTGCTCAATTAATCAACTTTATTTGTATAACGCCAATTCATAAAAAACGTAATCTCACGACACAATCTTAGAGCAGGTAAAATACCCTACTATTTTTTATACTTATTTAGAAAAGAGCAGGTAAGATTCCTTACTTTCTGATAAATTATCTACAAATACCCAATATTAATCTGCATCTGCTAATTCCACAAGGATAAATGTCAACATTACAGATTTTTTCAAAGAACCAGACCAGATGTAACCCATTCATTTGGTTTGTCTACCATGCTTGATCTATGGAATCAACATTTGAATCATATCAAACATAGATAGATTGAAACTAAGAACATCCTGTCAAAAACATTTTTAACAGTGCAGCTCTTTACATTTTATGGGACTGGGTTAATATATTAGCTGTTGCTGCTTCTTACAAGTAATAACTAACGCTCACAATCTGCTCAGCATGGTTGAAAACAAAAACAGAGCTACAGCGTCTGTGCTGCTGATTTACAAAGGCCATTATATGTCGTAATTAGACGGCAATCTGGGAAATTATTCTAATCTGTAATAAACAGAAAACATTGGATTTCACAGTATTCAACTGAGGGAACAAGAGGGAAACTGATCATACATTCATGTGCATATGGCTATGTTGCACAGGTATTCAATGAAATAACGGCTCAAGCTGCCAGTTGGCTCAGGCAAGAGACACTGACAGCTACATAGATTTTTGTTTTACATTAACCTTAAAAGTTAGATTTTTGGGACCCCTGTTTTCATAAAATAATGTTTCTTGTTCAGCAAAACGCAGCCTTTGAGAAATGCCCTTCCCCACAATCACTCATCACAGTCCAACCCCTGCCCTCTCTTGTTAACCATGTTTGCATGGATGAGACTTGCCACAGGACATCACGTCACTCTTGAAAAGTGCAGCGCAGCACAGCAGATGTCTGCTTTGTGAAAACAGTGCTGTTGCCTGACCTGATCCTGGCAATAAGCAAACTATCACACAATTATCCTTGCCCCAGAGGAGGCCAATGGAAGTGTGAGGGGGGGTGTACCAAAAGAGGAGTGAGGGTGCGTTAAATAGGGGGAGGGACAGACACACACAGCCAGTCCTATGAATATGAATGGCCGTCACATCTGAATATGAATAGAAGTCAGCAGAAGCGAGGGGCCACACCCAAAAATGAGCAAGTGCAGATGATTCACATGTTTATATCAAAGAGAAACCCAAGCCACAATTCACTTATTTCAAAAGACAAATCTGTATTTTTATTTCCACTCATACAAGCAAGAATAACAAGGCAGAATTAGAAAGTAAATGTACCCCTGTGGCTTCAGCATCCTGCTATCATTAGGAACATGAAAGCAGAATGAACAGCAAATGTACTTCTCAAACGTGGAAGTAAAAAAACGATGATGAGGCACCAAGGTCGCCATCAAAGGAGGGAGGAAGCTGTGAGTGGGGCACTGAAATCCCGAAGGCCTCCCTGATCAGTGTGTTGAGCTGGGTGTGTGCGTGTGTGTGTGGGGATTAGACTGGGATAAGGTCCTGGACCGTAAGTGCTGCTTGGCACCTCCCCTTCACATCTGCCTGCAGGCTGTAATTTGGCCTTGCACGTGGCAGCGGTGAACACAAAGCCACAGTGGCATGAGGTAAGCACAAGAAAATAGTCTAGTCAGTTCTTTTTACTACAAACCTCTGGTAACTGGGGCACGGGAGGAGATGACAGGCTTTCAGTGTGTGACTGTGACCTGAATCTTAAAAAGGGTGGAGTGCTTTGAGGGTGAGTCCGAGCACTGTAAGAGTTGTGATTTTTAGATGCTAATGAAGCTGTAATGTAAGGGCTAGAGAGCAGCCCACCCAGACACAGGGAGATGATTGGATCCTCTGAGACTGTTAGCAATGTCTTTAGAGTGACATGAAGCAAATACTCCATTTTAAAACTAGAACTTAAAAAAAAGGGCTACTTTGACTATATCCTGCTACGTTTCTGTTACTTGTTTGGATGAA